GGACTTGCTCCTCAGTGCAGCGGGCTCGGCGGAGAAGGCGGCTCTGGCTTTGTGGATTGCGCGGGAGCACCTTGGGAGGAACAACCTGCAGGGCGTCGATAGCCAGCAGTTCGATGACCTCCTACATCCGGATCACCTGGCATATCTACGGGAAGTACGAGCCCAAGGCATGCCCGCGAGATTCCAAGGCCAAAGAGAGAGAGTGGCTACAAAGCCGCATCCGAGAGCCAGGGCAGACTTGGGACAGGTCTATGCTCAGTTGATGAAGGACATCTTGAAGCACCGAGTGCTGGTGGCGTCATCGGAGCATCCAGCTTTGGACCACACAGTCTCCTCGCCTTTTGAGCTCGTCCCCAAGATGCTGCCGAACCGGACTTTGTCGACAGAGGCGAGATTGGTGCATGACCAGCGCCAGGTCAACGGGGGAACGCACAAAGACCTCCACCCACCAGCGGGCCAGCCGACGCATGACCAGGTGGTCAGACGCATCCTGTGGTTGAAAGCCCGGTACCCAGGGGTGCCAGTGGTTATGGCAAAGAAGGATGTGGCGGGGGCTTTTCGTCTGTTATGGGTCGACCCGAGAGACACGGAACTGTTTGCTGGTGATGTGCCATGGAAACCGGACTTGATTGGGCCGAGCGATGCATCTGGGAGGACCGGGTTCGACTCCAACCTGACGGTGATCTACCTGGTCTCGAGCTTTGGGTTTTCCGGGTCCCCGGGGGAGTGGACCGTCTGGGGCAGAGCTACGGAGGAGGTACACCGCGGCCTGAAGCCTTTGGATAGTCGACGCGATGGGGAGGTGCACTTCTGCGGCAAGATCCTGGTCGACGATATGGTCCTGGTGGAACCCGTGATAGGCCTCACACCTTGGGTTTCGAGTGAAGCCTATGAATGGGCGGTGACACAGCCGCTGGGGGAGAAGGCCATCAACAAGCTCAAGGACGCGGAGGAAGGGTGCTTCAGCCGGCAGCAGACCGTTTGGGGCCTCACCATCAATGCGGAGACTGAGAGGATGTCGTTGCCAGAAGCTAGAATCCTCAAGGGTGCCTACCTCCTGGCTCAACCATGTTTCAACTATGGGCACAAGGACCTCCCGCTGAAGGAGCTGCAGAGGTTCCGGGGGATTGCAACAGGTTGGAGCACGGTCGTGGCAGGACTGAAGAATGAGCTCAAGAGTGCAGATGTGTTCCTTGGTGGGATGGATGGCAGGGCAGCAGTTCGCCCGCGCTTGATGCGGGAGGATGGGTCGGAGGCCGCCAACCAAGAGGAGCTGAAGGTCTGGGAAGCACTATGGGAGCTCTTCGAGGACTGCCGATGGCTTTGCTCCCGATCGGAGACTTGGGCCGAGAAGTTCGGGGGCGACATCAGGGAGCTACTGCCTCCTCTTGAGCGGCTAGCGCTCCCAGGTCAGCAAGGGGGAGGACCAGTCTTCGTATCATCGGACGCAACGCCTGATGTGGTCGCAGCTATCGACTGGACAAATGGGCTCGCTTGTCGGGAGGAGGTCGAGACGTTGAAACCCTGGATCAAGCAAGTGGTTGAAGCCGAGGGCCAAGGAGACCAGAAACTGGCTATCCATCTTGGGGAGATGCTCAGCTTTGTCGCCTTTGCCTGCAAAGTGGGTCACCAGTGGGAAGGCCGAGTGGTGGTGTACGCCGGGGACAACAAGGTCGTTTACTTCTGGATCACAAGCAGGAGGAGTGGTGTGCAGGCTGGGCGGTTGCTCATACGGGTCCTGAACCTGGTCGAGAAGAGGCACAGGTGCAGGATCCTGGGCGGCTGGTGGCGCACTTTCCACAATGAAGATGCGGACGCCCTCACCCGCTTGGATGAGAAGGAGGCAGTCGAGCTCATGGAGAAGAAGGGTTGGAGGCGTCAGGAGATCAAGCTGAGTATCCAGCAGGCCCTTGAGGACACTGAGCGGTTTGGCTTGTGTTTCCTGTCCTGGGCTGACCAGGAGGATCGTTGGGAGCTGATGCGGTTGAGAGAGCTCAGGGTCTTCAGGGCGATCTTCCGGCAGCCGGCGGACCTGTCCAAGGTCGAGGTGGTTGAATGGACACCGGGCCATCGTCATGTCAGAGACTGGCAGTATTTCTCGAGCGATGAAGGCAGCCCGGAGTACAAGATTGTGGCGGGCACCATCGGACCGGACCCGAGGGGCAGGAAGGTCAAGGAGTTCCTCCAGTTCCTCGACGGTGAGACATTTGATGTGGCGGTTCTCGAAGGCCCTGGCGAGGTCAAGTGGTCTGACATGGAGCGATGGGCGGAGGCCATTGGGTGGACCTGCATTTTGCAGGCGTTCCTGACGTCCGAGCTAGGTGAGGCCATGGTGCGACGGAGGGTAGCTGGTTTCATCTGCCCGGTGAGCAAAACAGCGGAGGCGGTGGAGTTCCTGATGGTGAAGGCTGTGACACCGCCAGCGATGGGTACCTACTTGCAGAAGGTGCGGGAGGGCAACTGCGTGGGCGTCCACAAGTTCGAGACAGCGATCAATGTGGGCCAGGAGGTGATGCTCCCGGTGGTGGCGGCACATGCCTGGGTCTGGGTGTTGCAGGGCCGACGCTTCATCTGGGAGATCCTGGTGGCGCAAATTGGTGAGCTTGAGGCGGAGAAGGAGGGCTGCAAGGCTACAGGCAGAAGGACAGCTCTGAGCCTGATCGGGGTCGCCGCGGAGCTCGCGAAGGAGGGTCACGAGGGAAAGGCAGGGATGTGCGCCGACTATGAGGACTACAAGTCTTTGGGTGCCTTGCTACGGTGGTTGCGGAGATGGAGGAGAGGAGATTTTCGACAAGCCGAACCTCAACGGAAGGCCGGAGGCTTTGAAGACCAGACGTCGGCCGTGTGGTTCTGGGGCGAGGAGCTATGGTTGGAAGCCCTGGGGCTTGAAGAGAGAAGCTCGGGGAAGTTCGAGGGTGTCGAGCAGAGGCGCTGTGGAGGACGCAAAAAGAAGGAGGTGAAGGTCGTGGAAGAGGACGGCGCCAAGTTCGTTGACTTGAACCCCGACTTCAACCCGGACATGGAGATCCAAGCGCAGGTGGAAGAATGGTTGGAGGCTCACCTGGTGGGGGACAAGGCAGCCAGCACCCAGCGGGCCTACCAAGCGGCCTGGCAGAAGTGGTGTGACTGGAGTCGCCGACAGGGATGGATGACGCCCTACCTCGACCACAAGGGCGACCCGATCCTCAACGAGAATAAGGTGCTGGGCTACCTCGGGTACCTGGGTTGGCTGGGGACTTCGGTCGCCACGATGAAGCAGGCGGTGTTTGCGATCAAGGACGCGCGCAAGCGGGCAGGCCATGGCGACACCACCACCAAGATGCACCGCCTTTGGATCGTCCTGAACTCCTTGGAGAAGAACTCCGTGAAGAGGCCAAGACGCCTGGGAGTTACAGTGCAGATGCTCAAGTGGATCGGGAAGCGAATGGCCACGGGAGCAGAGTCCTTCGGCGAGCTCAAGGTGGACTGCAGGATGGTGCATGCCGCCATGGTGACGGGCTGGTTCTTCATGCTCCGAGCTCGGGAATTCGCGGACTCCAATGGGGTGGACCAGGAAATGATCCTCCGGGGACAAGATGTCTCGCTGACCACTCGAGGGCAAGGGGATGAGGAGAACCCGCAGGAGGTGACGATGCAGTTCAGGAAGACGAAGGCCGACCAGGAGGCGTTTGGCACGTGCAAGACTATGCTCAAGACTGGGGTCGAGCATGCCTGTGTGGTCACGGCCTTGCACCGCCTGCGAGAAGTGGCACCTCGTCGTTTCGGGTCCGGGCCAGAGAGTCACCTGCCTTTGTTCCGATGGGCCTCAGGAGGGGTCATCAAACGCCTCGAGATCCAGAACTTGCTGCAGCGAGCCGCCAAGTCGCTGGGCTTGCCGGCGGAGCGCTTCCAGTCGCACTCGCTGCGCATTGGGGGTGCCTCGGCGCTCTACCAGGCAACCGGGGAGATCGAGGTCGTGAAGAGGACTGGAAGGTGGACGTCTTCAGCCGTGCAGAGATACCTACACGATTCAAGAGATGTGCTGTCGGGCCTGGCGAATAAGATGGCGGAGGTCGACCAGCACGTCCACTACACCTAGACGGTGAGAAAGGTCAGCATGCAGACCAGAGCGCTCAGTGGGGTGGTGGCTCAAGGCCATAGAACGGCGAAGACCGTAGGGCCGAGACACCAACTGAGTGCTTTGCAGCAGAAAAGGTGCTGACTGCTATGCACTAAGTGTCTATATATCGTTGAATGACGGTTACTTTGCAGATGGCTGTGTGCTCCCAGTTTCTTTTGTTCTGAGCTCAAGCTTCTGCACGCTAAGCGTTTTCCCACAAAGCCTGAACTGGAAAACGGTGGTGGTTGATCTGCCTTCAGAGATTCGCAGCGCATTTGTTTTACATGTAAAAGAAATGCGTCGTTTTGCAGTCGAAGTTTCACAATACTCTCTCGCTCTTGGTACGTCTCTTCGTGTTTGTCATCCCGGTCTCCACCCCTTTGTGGACAACTCATACACACACTTTCTCTGGCCAACAGCAGATATTTTTTGCATATTTTTTTTGGTGGTTACCCAACCCCCCCGGATTTCTTAAAGAGAGCCACTTTGGGCTGTCTGTCCTTTGGCGTCCAGAAACCTGGCCGGTTTGGGCCCAGGATCAAGTACGGGTATTCAGCACTGGATGCTCACATTTTGTTGATCACCAGTAGCAGTACATCAGTCGATTTCTGTTTGATTTTGATGTCAATATTGCGAAGACTTTACGTGTCCATAGCCATAGCCAAACATGTTGCATTACAGGCTTTCTTCAAACTCTGAAAAGCGAACGATGCTAACGTTGTCACTATGGAGAAACCAGCGGCAATCATTTCGAACTAGAACCAATGGCAAATGTGGTGTGCTTTGCTGTGATTGCATTGTTTGGCGAACTGCAACGACAAGAGTACTGCTGACAGACACTCATAAGGTGACTACCAAAGCTGAGATGGAGGGTTTGCATTTTGCTGTGTTGTCAACAGAGGTGATGTCTCCTGAAGCTTTGGCGGTTCCCCCAGCAAAGACTGATTGTTTTCAAACAAATCCGACGTTACACTGCACATCAGTCTGGTCTTCAAGGTTCCTCCTGGGATTTCCTTTCCAGAGGCAGGTTTCTTGGATTTGAGCGCGTGAGCCAGCATTGTGCCTCTGGACTAGACTCTATACAGAAAGAGTCTTCAGGAGGCAGATCTTGGCCCCTTGATGCCCAGTAGCCCTGTTGCACACACAGCAAGAGGCCTAGCAGTACCTGCCTAGTAGGCTTGTGCCCAAATGTCAGAAACAACCTAGGTTCGCCTGGATACCACCATCGGAATCATAGACATCATCGTGCGACCGGATTGGGCTTTGACCTCTGAACTTGGTCAACCGACTGGATTTGCCCAACTTGTTAGGAACAAGAAGCTACTAGGGGCTCCTGGCATCGCTACTAGGAGCAAGGACGCTACTAGAAGCTATTAGTCAATTTTGTCAACTTTCAAAGAGCAGGCGCCCTACGGAGCCCGCCGCTTTCTCCAGCCAGGAGCACAGCGCTGGTTTTCCGCGAAGAGGTTTCAAGTAATGTCACCATAAGTGAACATACTGTACTTTAACATACTCGTACCTTCAAGTGCGAGAAGCAGCAACACTCTCTGCGGGTGCTGTGCTTGCCACAAAGGCTTGCATATTGTGGCGACTTAGATGGGCTTGCATTCTACCGTGCTGTCAGAGGAGCCTGAGCTGATTGGGTGGACAAATGCTTTTGGTGCTTTGATGCGGCTCATCATAAAAAGACAATAACACGTAACACATGAATCACATTTCTATTTTGTGAGCTTCGAAGCTGTCACCTCCAGCACAGGATGCTTGTCCCAGTTTGGTCTTCCAGCCAAGAGGCAGTAGCGATGGTTGCGACAAACACACGCACCTGTGAACATATACAGTACACATATACACATATAATGATGTGTACTGTATATCTAATATACACACATATATATATATATGTATATATATATATATTCACATATACATTCATGCCTCGGTTGAATTGGCAGGCAGTGGCCTCCTTTGCCGGACGACCCAAAGACCGGTGTGCCCTTTCTGCTTGGAGCAGTGTGTTTTGTCAGAAGCTTGGTTTGAGAGCTCCTGGCCAAATGTTGCTTCAACACATCATCACTGCTGAGGCTGCAGCGGGGGAGAATTCACGCAAGTCGACGTCATCTTGCTGAAAGCATGATTCTGTATGCAAATTCCTGGGGTGTGGGAGAGCTGCAGTAGAAAGGTTTTTTTGATTGGTCTACTAGTCTACTAGTCTCCAACTGGGTTCATGAAGACTGTGTAGTGTACTAGGGGGACAATGGAGGGTGGAAGGTTCAGAAATGATTTCACTCTGCACTCGAATGCTCTAGATTCCATTGTCTTCCTGTTTGTTCTTGCTCTTCTATCGGATTCTATCGTATCTCACGATCTTAGGGCCTCTACAAATTACAAGATCTGTGCTCTTGTTCCATTCTCTCCACTTCCTTGCTCACTCCACCAATTCACTCACTCCACTTGCTTGGTCTCTCCCCCGCTCACTCGTGCGCAAACCACGAAAGGTAGCCTGGTAAGGGCCGCCTTGAGTTTGCTTTGCGAAGCAAAGCGGTAGCGTGAACAGCCAGCTCGGGACCAATTATTGATATATCAATTCTATTGGCCCCCGTCCCTCCCTTCCATAGTATTAATCAATCATTTGGTGACCCCCCTCGCCAGCACCACTAGCATCGCCCATCATAACTGGCAGCAACAACAATGTTTATCTGTCTATGTGTCTATCTATCTATCCATCCATCCATCCATCCATCCATCCATCCATCCATCTATCTATCAGCCTTTCAGGGTCGAGAGGCTTCATCCGGCCACGTCCTCTCAATGACGCTTCGTTGATGGGCACCCGGTTGCTGGCTCGCATGGGGTCCGGGCGGCCCCTTCGTTCGCTGACTGCCTTGTTGGTGCTTCTCACCGTGCTCAGCACCTCTTGGACCCATCTGTCTATCTACCTATCTATCTACCTATCTATGTAGCTATCTAGCTATCTAGCTAGCTAGCTAGCTATTTGGCTATCTGTCTATCAATTTATCTATCTGCATGTGCTATTGCAAGCAAACAAGTGAATCGCTGACCTTCATATCCTTCATACTGGCCGAGGTAGGTGAAACTTGCTTGCATAAGTTTACCTCATAGTCTCATGCAATGTTTTTGCAACACGGATGCCCGGTTGCTTGACTGTGTCAGTGAGTGCATTCACTGCACTCCCAAGACAAAACATATGAAAATTATTCAGACCAGCTCGCACTTGCCATGAACTTTGCGTGGTTCTTGTGGTTGGCCAACCTTATCGAGTCGACCTCCATCATCATGCTTGTTTGTGCTTCCCCCTCATGCGGATCTATCGCTAGTCAGCCCGCTTCTACTTTTATTTGCTGTAATTTATGCTGCTGTACATTGCGCGACTTCTGGTTGATCCACTTTGCACAACACCTTTTCTGGGAGTCTGCAAGATCATGCAAAGCCAAGCTAGCAAGAGCTCTCCGATCCTTTCATGACCTCAAGACAACTGGGACTAGACTTTATGAAGGATTTGGGCCTGGTCCGCTTGAATTCAGTGTTGATTGTATTGTACAAACACTAATTGCGAGCTTGGATCATGAATTTTTGTGTTTGAGTTGCCAAGGTTGTTTATTTGCACCGGGGATATGATTTTCCGGCATGTAAATTTTTGCACGTCATGTCAGGTCGCTGACTTGGTACATGACTTTATGAGGACTTGGTATGCGAATCTTGTTTCGTCATGGCAGGTCACACTGCTTTGGGGGAGAAGCCTGGGAAACGCTGGGATCTAAAGCCGCAGGCCTTTTGTAGGCGACCTGTAGGGAAACCGAAGTGGCTTCAGCTCTGAGGCCAATTGGAGCTGTTGCTGAAGTTTCCCTGGATACGCCAGCTTCTTAACTTAGTGTATTCAAGCATTCAATTGAACGACGGCCTCTCAATTCTCAGTCTTCGAGACATGACACAAACGACTCAATGGACTCACAGCGTAGAGAAGGTTGGAGCGCATCGAGACGTGCTATGGAGACATTGCTGAATGCAATGGGCCGCCGTCCAAGTTTTTGTTGACAGGATGGCTTTAGCATGTTCGCAAACTCGCGGTTGAGGAGTGGTCCTGACACCAGCCGAATTCATGCAGAGGCAATAGTCCACCATTGCCTGCACCTGCGCATCTTTCTTCCGAGCAATCTCATGCCTAGCAGGGTGATGCCTACTTGGCGGAGAACTTCCCAAAACTCACTTACATCAGAACCGCAAAATGCCTTGACTGGCTGTATCCTCAGCATCGAAGAAGGATGAAGTATGTGTCCATTAAATGGCAGTCTTGTGCAGTTGATTTGCGGAGCAAGTAGCATAGTCATTCACCACTAAAGTTTATACCAGGCCTTTGGCACGAGGCAGGGGACAGATTTGGCAAGATGGATTATTGCTAAGCACGCACCCATGCAGGAGCTTGCCCTGAGGTGCGCTCAGACTTGCAACAACCTCAGGGAGAAAAATGTAACTCTAGATTTTCCGAATGTACAGATGTACCCACTGCAAAGCCAAGTGATCAGGGGAGCGGACCCGGCAGCATTTAGTGCCTTTTGTGCTGCAAACTCGCGCCGACCCAACCTGCTTAACAGGCGATTGAATCTTTGTCCAATGCAATCTCTCACAGGTTTTTCCCCAATAGCCATGCTATGGGGTCTTGCAAAACTAATAGGCGGACGGGCGCCGTCGGGTCACCGTCAGAGCTGGTGGGCGGATGGTGTCCCGGTCATGTTTTGATGGCGTCCGGGTCATGTGATGCTGGTGTCCCGGTCATGTTGTGATGGTGTCCCGGTCATGTTTTGAAGGTGTCCCGGTCATGTTGTGATGGTGTCCCGGTCATGTTGTGATGGTGTCCCGGTCATGTTTTGATGGTGTCCTGATCATGTGATGGTGGCGCGGTCATGTTGTGATGGTGTCCCGATCATGTTTTGATTGTGTCCCAGTCATGTTGTGATGGTGTCCCGGTCGTGTTTTGATGGTGTCCCGGTCATGTTTTGATGGTGTCCCGGTCATGTGATGGTGTCCCGGTCATGTTGTGATGGTGTCCCGGTCATGTTTTGATGGTGTCCCGATCGTGTTGTGACGGTGTCCCGGTCATGTTTTGATGGTGTCCCGGTCATGTTTTGATGGTGTCCCGATCATGTGATGGTGGCGCGGTCATGTTGTGATGGTGTCCCGGTCATGTTTTGATGGTGTCCCGGTCATGTTGTGACGGTGTCCCGGTCATGTTTTGATGGTGTCCCGGTCGTGTTGTGACGGTGTCCCGGTCATGTTTTGATGGTGTCCGGGTCATGTGACGGTGTCCCGGTCATGTTGTGATGGTGTCCTGGTCATCTTGTGATGGT